AGGTCAGGTCACGAAAGGTCACGGTTTTCAGTAGGCGGAACTATGGTCAAGCGTACCCATTTTCGGGAACGCATTTTCGTTCCCATCTTTGGGAACGATAAACCCAAATATGGGAACGCCATGTAGGAATTATTTAAAACAAGAAAAAGAACCGTTAAATGACGTCCAAAAAATATAAAACGATCGTGAACCGCCTGATATTTGTCTCAATATTGTTGCGAAAGAGTTCGATATTGTAAGGCCCATCGTAGTTTCAAATCGTTCCCCTATTTCTAAAGCAGTCCATCATCCGGGCCGCGAACCCAAATTTGGGAACGCTCTCGTACACTGGCGCTGCAAGCGTTCCTTATTATGGGAACGGCGTACCCAAATTTGGGAACGATTTCAACGACGCCTTTCAGGGGCTCTTTTCATTAACAATCATCACGTCCAACGCCGCAAATTATTGTTAACACAACAATCATCAGATGACCTTTCCGGCAAGACCGTCGCATGTTTCGCCCGGTCTTCTGCGCTTTTATTCCCGTCGATCTCGCAGCGGGCACGCCCCCCTCTGCAGGATTACGTAATTCACAATTAACATCCCCTCCGTCACCCATGGCTTCCACACATTCTCCGTCCGCTACGCAGATGACACTCAGGTGGCAGTTACTGGTCCTCGCGGCAGCTTGCCCGAGCTGCGGCTGGCTCTGGAGACGGTTTTGGACACTCTAGGCACCTGGTTCTCTCAACACGGGATGATGGTGAATGCGAAGAAAACCGAGTTTCTGCTTTGTGGCGACCGGCGCCAGCTGGCACAGATCGCTGAGCCGCCTACTGCCCAGTTTATGGGACAAACACTTACCTTGTCCGCATCGGTCAAAAATCTAGGTGTAGTCATGGACCAATGGACCAAGAACTGTCATGGAATGCCCACATCTCCGCCATCACACAACGCTGTTTTGGCATTCTCATCGGGCTCATTCATGTTAGACACATGATACCATCGCACGTGCTGCCTGTACTTATAGACGCGCTTGTCATTTCTCATGTTAGATATTGTCTGTCGGTCTATGGAAGCGCGAATCGCACTGGCTTAGCTAGAGTTCAAAAGATATTGAACTTCGCCGCCCGGGTAGTGTCCGGAAGACGTCGGTGTGATCATGTGTCGGACATTATCAGTGAGCTCGGCTGGCTGCGTGCAGCTGATATGGTGATGCATTCTGATGTCTCGCTGCTACACAGCATATTGTTGTCTGACAAACCCGATGTACTGCGCTCCTGGTTTGTACATAACCATGAGCATGTGTGCCGTCAAACGAGGCAATCTCGCCATATCACACTGCCCAAGTCTAGCAACAATCACGGGAAACGCCGATTTGTGTACCGGGCTGCCGACCTGTACAACCGAATGGTGATCGCCAGGGACAGAGATCACATGTCACTGCGCAGCATCAAGGCATCTATCCGTGATGACCTAACCAGCCATTGAACACAACGGTCGTGTATTTTGTGTCATATTAGGTCCACTGTATTGATCAATCTTATTAGGTGTCTTTTATGAAGTGTTCATTGTGTGCTCATATTGCATTGTATATGACGAAGGTCGCAGAATAGCCCTGCACCAGTGGAGCGACCTTATTCGGTAAATACATACATACATACAAATACACAACGCTCAGCGATGTTCAACAAGGTCTTCCATACCTATATCCACCGTCCGCGCTGAGGGTGGAGACATGTCAAGCACCTGTCTGTTTATCACCGATAGTTGACGAGTACAAGGAAGTATCCAAAAATGGGAACGCTGAATATGTTACACCCTCAAAACACCTAGTCCCAATGAAAATCTAGTTTTTTCCTTTCTTGATGAGTGTAAGTGGCAAAAGGCCTGGTAGGATGGGCACGAGGAATTATCGAAATCAGCATAAAAATTATAAATAAGCCACACAGAGCGAGCTATATAAGAGAAATTCCCCCAAAACGATCACGCTTAGAAACACGGAAGACAAAAACCACGCTCATGACGCTCCTTATAAAACAACTCTAAACAGCTAGCATCCAAATAAAATATGTCTTTCCGGGATGATAAAATACAGCTGGATAATTTTCAACCGCTTAAACTGAGTTCACAACAGTAGGTCGGTAAATTCACTCACGTTCCACGCGGTCGTCCGCCCCGACACAAAAGTCAACAATATTACCTCGGGACCGTCCGCGTCTTCGCTTGCATTTGTCAGCATCTGGTGTCGATAGTATGAAAGTTCATAACCAGGCGAAAATTATTATACTTTACCTCAAACTAAAAAATGCTTCATTTTCCTTCAAATTGCATGTTAAATGTCGTATAACCCATATTTCCACCATTCTGTCATTTTCAAAAAATCATTATAAATATCATTCCACGGTCAATTTCCTTGTTCCACGGTCAGATTAAAGATAACTTTATGGAGATTTAGTAGATACTTAAATCAGCGTGCACTTTTTTGAGACGTGATGCACTTTTGAGTTTTAGTGGGAGAACGGCCGAAAAATTGCCTTCCGTTCTCATAAATGGGAACGCCCGTTCCCATATTTGGGAACTCCGTTCCCAAAAATGGGGACGTTCCTATATTTGGGTACTCATGACCATAGTTCCGCCTACTGTTTTCACTTTCTGCTACATGGGCGTGCGACACATGTTTTATGGCTTATTTTTCACGCCAAATCCGATGGTAATGGTTATATGTGACCCCAAGTCACTGTGCTGGTGATAAGTGTGCATTGAAAGCATAAAAAATCGTTTATACTAAACGAGGGCTGAGAAAAAAGGTCAATTTTTCAACTTTTTATTTTTGACATAAAAATGCACTTTTCTAGACGAGCTTTGTCCCAGGAATCTAGTGGTGCCATTTGTTTTCACATGCGATGTTCAGAAGTGCCTCTAATTCGCGAAAATGCTTATGACGTCACCATGCCCTATGCATGTTGGAGCTATTTTTTACAATTTGGGGGTCAAAAATCAAGATAGACAGTTGAAATTTGGGACATCTATTGTTCTAATAGAGCTCTATAACATATATTCCGGTTTTTTGGAAATTCTCAAAATTTTGGATTTTATTAGCTGTTTTCCAAAAAATATAGTTTTTTGAATTTTTAGGGTTGAAAAACGCATTTTATGGAAAATCCGAGATAGCCATTTTAAAGAACTCGTTGAGCTGCGTCTTTTCATGTCCTTAATTTGCAATTTGCTTAAAACCTCGATTTTTGGCGATTTTTTAAACATTTACCGTTTTTTGACTGAAAACGCCATGTAGTTACATCACTAAAATCGATATATCTCAGAAATTTTTGAAAAAAAAAATTCTTAAAAATTGCACAGGAGACGTCAAATTGATGGGGGAGAAGGTATGCGAAGTTTCAAGTTGATAGCGCAAGCGGTTCATGAGTTATTCAAGAAAAACGGAGGGGGGGGTCGGATCCGACCCCCCCCCCAGGCGGTCGCGGGTTTTAAAAAGGTGAAAATTGACCTTTGATGACCTCTGGCGACCTGATCTTTGGCCTGACTTAAACATGACTGGAGTTTTTCCATGATTTTTGATGTTATTTTGAATGCTGCTTACCGCATCTTACATGTAGCTTACTCCTGTGTCGCCAAGTGGCACAGGAGTCGAGTCAGGGGTGCTCACCCCCTCCCCCCAAAAAAAACGGCACGGCTGGCGCCGAGCGCGGCCCCGCGCGGGTTAAAGTGTCTGCCATTGACATAGTATGCGATAGTGATGTTGATTACGGAAAAACGGAATACCGATACCAAACCAAATACCAACCAAAACCGTGAAGAAATACCGAAACCAAACCTACTTGGGAACGTGAGGAAAATATCAACTTTTTACCGATTTCTTAGCCTCTTAAACATTAGCGAGGGTTTATGATACCAACAAAATACCAAACACATTAGGATTGAAATACCAAATACCGAGTTGGTATCGGTTTGGTATCGGTATACCAAAAAGTTGGTATCCGATTGACATCTCTAGTATGCGAGCTATTGCATTAACTAGCCTCACGAGCCACGGTCAGCATACTGCCCGAGTCAACATCCTGCCCGTGAGAAGAAAGGTGGGTAGTATGCATACTACCCGGGCAGTATGCAAACTGCCCGGGCGGTATGCATACTGCCCAAGGGGTCGGGTAGTATGCATACTACCCGGGCGGTATGCATACTGCCCGGGCTGTTGGGTAGTTTGCATACTGCCCGGGTAGTTTGCATACTGCCCGAGTTAGCATATGACCCGTAACATATACAAAGCTGCTGGGTCGGCCGACTTCTGACCAGTCTTGAGCGCAGCTCAGTGCAGTCGGCGGGAACGGCGGGGCCAGCCAGTCGGCGGAGAGCGCTGACCGCCTACCCGCCGCAGAGGGCCGACCCCTCTTCGTGCAGTGCCCCGATGGCCCCGGCGCCCCAATAACTGCCTCATAACTAGAGGTGGAAATGAATATTAGTCATAAGTCAAAAATTAGTCGACTAACGTTAGTCAAGCGCTTTTTTAGTCAGTCAAAAGTCAGTCCACCAAAATGTTTGTTAGTCATTAGTCAGTTATTAGTCAATGATTTTGTTGCACATTAGTCGACTAATTTGTCGTGTTTCGTGAGGTGACTTAACCTGCGCCCCACTGGGGTCGCCGGCCGAACGCGCCCGACTGGGGGGGGGGGGCAAAGATAAGATTTCTAAGAGATATACCGCGTTTTGTCAAAAACTCAAAGCTTCGTTTTAGACTTTGCCATCGCGTAATTTTTCCAATTTTTTTTAGGGCTCATTCCGTGTTCACAACACTCATACACATCAGAATTTGACCTTTAGCCATTGATAAAAAATAAGTTGCAAAACCCACCCACCCTACTGGAGATTCCCCTGTAAACCGCCTATGGCGGCGGGCCGAGAGGACCGAGAGGACGAGCTCGGTCAGCACTCAGCGCACCGTGTCCGGTCGGCTCGGCGGCCGCCTCTCCAGAGACCAGATCGGCACGCGCTAGGTACTCACCCCCGGCAGAGTGCGCTTCTCGTGCAGCGAGCTCTGGGCGATGGCGGCACTCTCCCTGGCGCAGTACGTGAGAAAGGCGCACCCTGCAACAGAGACGCGCCCTCAAAGGAGTGCCATGAAATAGGGACACGCATTAAGAAAAGTACACGAGAACAGACAATCACTGCCTGCAACAGCGCAATCACTGAGAAAGACGCACTGTGAGACGAGACACGCACCGAGTGTGAGTCACGGCTAATCATGGAAGCCACAACATAGATGTTGAAAGTGTTGAAGTAACAAAGTTTCCTTGGCACTGAGGGCGTTGGGAAGTTGCGTTGCGACATCTGAGGACCGTGCAGAGGTTTATCTATGACGACATAGGTCAGTGACCTGACCAGACCTGAAAATGTGTTTGGTGTCACAATTTGGGGCTTGGATCAAAGGTGAGCTATGCCAAGGTCCAGCTCAATACCGCTGGCGTGCTTGGAGCCATCGCGAACAAATAACCTAGGGGGAGGGGCGGCAGATTTCAACCTGGGCCAAAGCTGCAACGATTTTGATCTTAAAGTATGTGTGTGTGTGTGTGTGTGTGTGTGTGTGTGTGTGTGTGTGTGTGTGTGTCTCTCTCTCTCTCTCTCTCTCTCTCTCTCTCTCTCTCTCTCTCTTCTCCGGTACCCTATGCGACATCCGGCCACCATCCCCGAGGACATCAGACATCCGGCGCCGACGCCACTTACGGCCCGTGCCGCCCCACAATGCCGCGCTGCCGTATCACATCGGGGAGGTGCCGGCGGGCCGGCCGACCCCTCCGCGGCTGACCCCGCGCTGGTCGCACCGCACCAGCTGCCCGATCCCGGCCGGCAGACGACGCGGCCCGATCCCGGCCGGCAGGGATCAGCCCGGGTGACCTACGCCCGAATCGCCTATTCCATCGAATGTCTACGCCCGGGTGACCTACGCCCGGCTGACCTACGCCCGAATCGCCTACTCCATCGAATGTCTACGCCCGGCTGACCTACGCCCGGCTGACCTACGCCCGAATAGCCTACTCCATTGAATGTCTACGCCCGGCTGACCTACGCCCGGCTAACCTACGCCCGAATCGCCTACTCCATCGAATGTCTACGCCCGGCTGACCTACGCCCGGCTGACCTACGCCCGAATCGCCTACTCCATCGAATGTCTACGCCCGGGTGACCTACGCCCGGCTGACCTACGCCCGAATCGCCTACTCCATCGAATGTCTACGCCCGGCTGACCTACGCCCGGCTGACCTACGCCCGAATCGCCTACTCCATCGAATGTCTACGCCCGGGTGACCTACGCCCGGCTGACCTACGCCCGAATCGCCTATTCCATCGAATGTCTACTGCCGTACGGCCTGCCCGTGTTCGTGGAGCAGTCCCTGCTGTATTATCGAGTAAGGATTTACCCATTCACTACGCCGGCTGACTGGCGGCCCCATCCTTTGTTTGCTCTATTGTCGTCCGTCGCCCGCCGCGGCGGTGCCCAGGCCCGGGGGTCGCCTGGCGCAGCGGGGGTAGCGTCCCGCCCCTCGGCCCCTGGCGCGACGAGAGAGGTAACATGCCGCGGCGCACGGCACGGCGGGCCGCCGCCGCCGCCGCCGAGGGAGTGGACGCTGCCGACAAGGATGAGGGCCGTGGGCCCGTGGCATCACCTGGGTTTGTATGGATTTTTGTTCATTTGGCCGGCTGGCTTAAGTCACCGATTACATTAAAAGGACAAGTGAAAATGAGCCTCTGCACGAATTAGTGTCTTTGCCAACGGCTAACTTCAATTGCAGGAGGGTGAGGAGGGGTCGAAAGAACCACCCAGTGATTCATCCCTTGATTGAGCTATAGGAAAAGCGGGTTTGGCGAGTGGAAGCCAATGAAATAAATTTTTATTGTCCTAAGAGCAACTTGACAAGAGTCATTGCCATAGAGTGCACCAAGTTTCAAGTTGAACATATTTTTTTTGAAAAATGTGAAGTAAAGCCTTGCTTCTCCGTCAAGTGACGGTGTATTCAAATAACCCGACCGTTGGGTAACTTGAACAGTCTTTCTTTGCACGCCATGAAATAGTTATCTGGCTATCACCGATGTTGTTTGGTGTATAAACAAATAGGCACAACAGCTCTAACATAGGTACCTTATTGAAGACAGATTAAAACAACAACAAAAATAACCGTTGCAGAATATCAATATCTGCTTGCTGCACACCAGCCAGTTGACAGAGGTTGGCTTCTCTCGTCAGTTGACAGATCGTCTATATCTCCGTTCGGTAAAACCTATCACAACCTTACCACATCTGTTAGAGTGGTGCCAATCGGATTTTGTACCTTCAGAATTCCGATTTTGTCCTATGCCCAAATCGGAATTTGGTTGGACAAAGGCAGCATGCTTTGGACAATATTTGTCAATCACTTGCAACACTTCAGCATTTTTATAAAGTAATCGTGCACACCAGTAAAACGCCTTTTGGGGCGACCAACGGAGTGAGCGGGAGGGTGGGCCTTGCACGTGCGAAATTGCGAGGGGGTACCACCAAATAACTTGTGCACTTGCACCCCAAGACTTACTAACCGGTCCCTAGTGATGTGCCAAATTTGAGCGCAATCGGCCCAGCCGTTCTCGAGATCTGGAAGCGGCACCCTGCATGTGCGCACGTGCCAACTGGGTCCCAACTGACTTGCACGGCACCCTACCAACTGCTCCCTAACCGTGTACCAAATTTGAGCGCAATCGGTCCAGCCGTCTTCGAGATCTGGAATCAACCCCTGCACGTGCGCACGTGCAACAGCACCCCAAATCTGGCACATGGATATGCATGGCTTAGTGGGTGCCTACCTACATGCTAACTTTCAGCTCAATCTTTCGGTAAAAAATATTTTCGAGTCATGTCAGGTCACCGAGCTATGACCTCACAATAGGTAAAACCTCCGACTCTTTTTGACAAAATCGTACATCTGGCGTAACTGGACGCGATCCCATCGACAAGAACGAAATTATTCTGTGTGACTTATCATTATGTCAGATTTTGACAGGACATGAAACATTACATTGTATATTGACCTTTCTAAGGTCAACAAAGGTCATTGACCTCGCATGTCTGTGTTTAGTGGGGTTTCTTGAGGTCCTGAATCCGAATCTGTGGTTCAATCTTCATCTATGTAAATGCTTTTAAAATTGTTCCTCGATCTTTACAAGGTCACCTTAGGTCAATTAACGGGTGTCTACTAGATAATGAGAAAATTTCTAAGGAGTTGATACGCACCTTTAATGGTAACACATAATATGCGTAACTCACATGATGAAAGACCAATTTGTTGCGAATGTTAAACACACAAAATGAAAACATGACATCCCACGGTCAGCCGGCAAGAGGACGTTAAGCATTCAACGGTTCCGAGTAATCTTCGCCAATCTGAAGGAAAATTACCGATCTATACTGGAGAATACACTTATGGCTCTCTAAGTACAAATTAAAGGTTTTTAGTCCAGTGCCAATCGCATATTTATGATATTTCGGACAAGAGGAAACGTTCAGCATGCTAGACAAAAGTTTGAAGTGGCTGTAATTCTGCGAGTTTCGCCACAGAAATAAGATCCCCTTATGGGGTGCGAAGGACAAAGTGAGGGGTGTCAATGTGCCTGCTGGCGTGACGCTTTAATATTTGCCACTATTATGTCGTAGTTTCTGCTTTAGAAAATGTGCAATTAAGTAACCGAGGTGCACACAGACACCCGTTATCACCAAAGCGCAGGAACGCAGAGAATAACGGCGTTTGCGTCGGCCGTTCAGGGGCATGCTGTCAATTACATACTGGTCACAAAGTGGAGCATGGTAATGGGTGACGAAAGCTGTTTGGCCTTCCCAGGAACAGAGATGTCATCTGTTGCCGGTTTGTATGCTCCTGTAAAGGGTGATACAACTGCAACCTGAGGACAAGTTTCCTTGCCGGTTTCCAGCTTACTGATGTGGCTAGACGGTGTCTCCGGAAGGGGAGGTACTGCCGGCAATATGCCCAAAATGAGTTAACATTGGAAGGGTGTTCTAGTGGAAGGGACGGCTAGAAAAGGTGTCGATTCCTTATTTTTTGGGGTCGCTTAGGTCACACAAGATGTAGACTACCCAAGTGGTGGCTATAAGCTCCGGTTCGACTTAGTTCCATTATGCATAGTTTAGTTTTTTTAGTTTTAGTTCCGTTATGCTTAGTTTCCATTATGCCATTAAAACCATCACAATGTTGGAGGGGGTCGGCGTACCCTTGGAAGATCGAGAGGACAATTCACCCTGCGTGTCGCAGCTTTGGCCGCTTTAAGACTTATGAGGCTTTGCCAAGAAAGAAATATATTCAGGGGACTAGACCATAGCTTTGGACCGACATCTGAAGACGCGAAGTCAGAAATTATCGGCGTCGTTTAACGCGGAGGTGCCTTTTTCTCATTATTTAGTAGACACCCGTTAGGACCGTCCTCGCCAGCGGCGGGTGTGACTCTCGTGTTCCCGGGGACTATGTCACGCCAGTAATTTTTTTTTTATTCGTCAACCTTCCAACGGGCCGGTATGCCCATTTACAGGAAGGTACCCCTCCCCCCTGGGCTACGGCTAATGTGGGAGCCCACCCCACTCCTGGTGACACAGCTGGGGACGACGCCCGCGGAACGGGCGGCACCGGGGATCGAACCCGGAACCTCCCGCACCGCGGGCTGACGCCTTACCAACTGCGCCACCAGGGCCGCTAATGACTGAACTGCAGTGAACTATGCATAATTTTGTTGCTAATTCATTGAGAAACACGGTCGTGAAAGTTTCATGTTGATATCTTTCATAGATTTGCCATTATTGGCTAAATAGCTTGGAAAATTTTAGCTTTTCCCCGTAATTTGATCGTTGACTAGCCAAAACGGTGTCAAATATTGACCTAGGATAAAAATATAGGTATCACCAGTCGCGAATACTCGTAAAGAGCAATCGACTTGTCTTTGTTGGGAAGCGCTACGACGCTTAGTTTCGAAACGCCAGGAGGTCGGATCACCCCCCCCCCCCCAGGCCGCGTTACGAAAAATGCCCTGCCAGGGCGAGGGTTATAATAGCA